CAATTTCTGATTGATACTCCAAAAGGTGTATTAGATATTCAAATATAATGTCCCTCTGAATGGGTAAATAATGAATAACAGTTCTTAAATGGCTTGATAGCATGAGATCTGGATGTTTCCCACAGCACTGCTGGCTCCCAGAAGACACTAAGGACAATATTCCACTGCCATCCCTCCCTCCCTCCAATTATTGCACAATAATGATTCTTAGAAGCATATCATTTTTGCAATGATGATGATGATCCAAATAGTGCTGAAGTACAACTCTTTAGCCTCCTTCGCAATTCACCAAATCATCAGGGATCCTGATAAAAATAACAGTTTAATACATGATTTTTAAAAGCAGAAAATCCTTATTCTTGTTCTATTCCCAGAAATTTTCTCACCAGAAGGGATTGTGGTCTGTGTTACTTTTGTCAGAAAGTGGAAAAATGATAGTCTTCTCAAGCTTCAACACCCACAATCCTCAGAAATGGCCAGAAATTTTATGAAACTATTAGGAGGGGCCCCAGTTAAGGGAAGGTTGCTCTGAAATTGACATCCTCTACATTTCCAAATCCAATATCTAAGGAAAATAGTGTGAGTTCTACATCCTTGAAGGAGCTGTGGCTAACACCAGTGGTGGGATTCAAAAATTTTTACTACCGGTTCTGTGGGCATGGCTTAGTGGGCATGGTGTGGCGTGGCTTGGTGGGCATGGCAGAGTAAAATCCCAATTCCCTCCCCACTCCTGGGGAAGGTTACTGCAAAATCCCATTCCTCACCCACCCCACTAACCTGCTTTCCAGCTCCATTCTCCTGTGCAGGGCAACAAAAGAAGACCCAGCCGATCAGCTGGGACTCAGGAGGCAGCGAATAGATGGAGGCAGGGCTAGTCAGGGTGGTATTTGCCAATTCTCCAAACTACTCAAAATTTCCGCGACCGGTTCTCCAGAACTGGTCAGGACCTGTTGAATACCTGCTCTGGCTAACACTAAGGGACCTATAGTTCATTAGCATTTTAATTTTTTCTTCCAATTGTTGTTACACGTTTTAAAGTACATTGAATGGAATATACAAATATAATGAAATTCAATAACAGTCTGCAAGATTTTAAAGTGGAAAGGAAGGACTGAAGGGGGAAAAATCTTTCAAAAGCATCAGTTGACATTAAGTTTCATTTTTAACGGGGAGAGATGTGCATAATTTTATAAGAATTATTGCTGCAACAGAGGTCTGCTTTAGTAGTGTACTAGTTTATCTGTAGTAGTCTGTCTGTAACATTAGTGTGAAGAACTGATACAACACTTTTCTTTCATTCCAGTTTGCCCTGGTAAGTTTCCAAAAACATATGCTATCATCAAACATAAGACAGTCTGGACTGCTGGAAGTTACAGGAAAGACCAAATCTGGTTAGCCCATTCTGAAATTATGCAATCAATGATTAGTTCCCTCAAATATGATTTGTGTCATTGTCAAAAATAGTCATTTAGGATCTTTATTTATTGTGCTAGACTGGAATGGATGGACTGTAGATGAAAGCTATGTAATGGAATGTATGATGCTGCCTAAGAAACAATCTGACAAGAGAAAGGAGCCTCAAAAATCTTAACTATCTAAGGAAGAAACTTAGGAAAGATCCACCCTAATTGATCAGATGATTAAAATGGCAGTGCGAAGTTTGTAACCAGATTTAAAACATTGAAATCAGCCCCCTCAAAACAAACCAGACAGGAAATACAACCAGACAACTAAATCTACTTTATTGTAAGGCTGCATTAACAGAATTTTGCAAGTCTGAAGGTACGAAGTTTCTACCTGAAACCATCTGATAAATTTGGGTGAATCCTTCCTACATTTCTTTCTCTGATCTTTAAATCTTTGGGCTCCTCTTTCCCTTGATTTATTTCCTAGCAGCATCTTTTCCCCCAAAGTCATCCACACATTGCACAATTAAAACAAGTGAACAGAGCATGCTATTTGAAAAGAACAAATCAGTAAAAAAAATAAATTGTATTTGGTTTTGGGGGGAAATTGTGTGCTTATGAGATAAATGTGTGCAACAGATGTGCTACATAGTAAAGATTGCATTAAATATGATACTGGATACAAAATTAGTTTCCTAGGAATCTTTCTTTTAATATATTTTTAGGAAAATGAACCACTTATTTTGGTGTCTTATGTAACATGTTTGGTGTGGAGTAAAATTAATAAAACATTTGAGGTAAAATGAATAAAAATCAGCTGGATGATGTAATGCAAGAGAGAATACAGTTCCTAAAGATGTGATAAATGAATCACTTGTGGTTTTAAACATTGTGTAAAAGTACACATAAAGTGAAGAAAGGACATTCTTACTAGCACTTTCACATCAACACTTTACTGATGCATTTACCTTATTAATGGAATTCTACAAGGTGGTCTTGGCTTGTAACATCTTTTCCTGTATTTTCCTTAGGTTTTTTTTTTTAATAAGGGGTTGAGAAGGAAAGTTGGAATGGCTCCCCAATTCCTTTTGATTAAGATAGTTCTCGATTTAAAACCAAAATTGACCCTGGCAATTCTGGTTGTAAGTCATGAAGGTCATAAAGCAGGTCATCCCACGACCGACCCAATACTATGACCTGTTTTGTAATGGCTGTTAAGCAAATCCTTGTAGGTATTTTTGGGGGGAGGGGAGGAGGTTTGGGAGCAAAAAAAAATGGAAGCAAACATTTGTTTTCATCAAAAACATTGTTAAGTTGTAATCACATGATCACAAGTGCTGCAAACAGTTAATACAGGCCAGTTGCCAAGCACCTAATTATGACCAGATGACTCTGGGGGGAGCAGCTGTCAGAATTTTGGATAGATTCCAATGGGTCCTAAATTACATTCTGGGGGTCCATCGTAACTTCCAATAGTTGCTAAGTCACCAGTTGTAAGTTGAGAAATACCTGTAATTAAATCCTAAACCTCACAGCCTTGATACAGTACTGAAACGAAATGATTTCCAAAGTATTACCTAAATGATTTCCAAAGTATTTATTTTTAGAATACCTAAATAAAAGCCTTCCTTCTCAGTGGGGGAAATATGAAGTTTTAAAATTTGATAAATAAATAAAACTATCTTAATATCCATGGACACACTTTTGTAGCCTGGATCACTTCTTTCTTAGAAAAGGTATTCATGCACTACTGACAGTTTTAGTCCTCTAAACCAGATAGGAAAGGTTGTTCATAAACAACAAGAAAACCTAGAATTTCCATCTCAGTATGTGGATTGGGAACACATGGAAATTACTAGTCAAGAAAGAGAGGGATATAAATTGGAATGAGAAAAGATATGGGAAAAAGAGGGGGAGGAGAGGCAGTAAGAAACAGGTGCAGGAAATAAAGAAACATGGAAATAGTAAAATGATGAAAAGAAATTGGTTTTTTAGAGATAATGGCTGATGAATTAAAAAGGGGATTCTGCAGGGTGACAAGGGGTAACAAGAATATATTTGCAATTAAAAAATACTTAAAAAATAGGATAATATAGATTATTAAAGGAGGGATAGATACTGATAACTCTTATTAGATGAATATACATTTTTTATTTTTATCTTTAAAAGAAAAGTTAAGGTCTATTGAAGAAATTGTAATAATTGAAATGAATGTGAAAACTGATGTCAATATCAGTAACAGGAATTAAATAGTCAACTTTTCTCTTTTACTTTTTGAAAATTGGAAATAAAATTAAGAGGGGAAAATACATTGTGGAATCCAAATGAAAAGATGTAACGATTATTATTGTAACTACTTAAAAATAAAGGTTTATTGGGAATTAAGATGAGGGAATAAAGATATATTTGAACCACTGGGGTGTCACACTCAAAGCAGTAAAAGGGGGGAAACCTATGCTTGTTTCTTTTTCTCTTGTGTTAAAACTTGTATTAATCTAGAATTTATAGAAAGAATGTGCGATGAAAAGAAAATATGACAGATTAAAGAATTAATACAGATTAATTAATACAGATTAAAAGGAAGGAGACATTGGTAACATTTTTTATTAGGTAAACATACTGTATATTGTTATTTTTATTCTTACAATAAATATTAAAGGATTATATTTGAAATAATTGAAATGAAATGAAAGGATGTTTGGATTGAGATTAATGTAAGAGATTAAGATTAATTTGCTTGTTTTTCTCTTTTCTGAAAGTTTGGAATGGAAAAGGTAATAATAGAATTAAGTATGCATATATGAATGTATAACTATTGTCATATTTGTATGTAAAAGTGATGATCCGGAAATATGTTGTCCACTAAAAAGAGCTTTTTGTTTTTATGTGAAAAATTGAATAAAACTTGTTTTTTTTAAAAAAGAAACTACTACTGTTAAAGTAGACTAAGGAACTGTCTGTAGAGTGCCATAGAGAACTTCGTTTTGCCCTTTCTTTCCTAAAGATAGGCTAAATCATAGATTGTAGAAGTAACCAACATGGATTTAACAGGATGAAGCTGAGAAGCGACAAGATCAAACATGATGATAGATGGAAAAGCTTTTGCAATAAAGGGGTTTGCAAACTCTCCAAAACAGTCATGAGCAACTTAACCTGATCCATCACATGGTGGAAGCCCATGAGCATTCTTGCCATTCTGCCTGTTCAAGACCATAACAGGCAGTTCCCGTACTACGAATTTTGTGGATCCCTGTGATTTACAGATTGTCAAAAGCAGTAAATTCATTTCTTATACAAACTTCTTATGAATTGAAACTGTGAAGTTAATTTTATTGGGGTAGGGGGGTTAGAAATGTTACACAAATGAATTGACGTATTCTTGGTTAATTCTAAATGATGCAAAGCAATTGCTGAAAAACTCTTTGCCCCAATGCAGGCTATCTATAAGATTTATGGCTATTTAAATTATTTGATCTTTTGTATTAAAACTTAATTTTACTTCTACCATCTAATCATTATATTAAATGTTTTACGTGAGGAATGTTATCTAGGTGAAAGGATTAGAATAAACTTTGTATTCACATCACATGTGCAACTTCATAAGCTTTTTATTCAAAATAGTCACAAGAACCACATTCTATGTTAAGCTCCTAATTACATTCCTGACATACCTTTTGGCAGCCTGGACTTGTTCACTGACCTTGTTATAATGTATGATACCACTGTAGTTAACCTCCCTTGTTTCTAAATAGGAGGTAATGTTTATAAATGCGTACAATTACAATTACTTATTTGTACCACCCTAGCATTATATACATATACTTCTCCACTTGCTAAAAAACAACAATCCCACAACATAGTTATAATATTTACTATATAAAGAACTCTATACAACACAGAACACACATAGGAATTATAGGAGTATATTCTACATTTCAAATAGAGAATGTTCTATGAATTTTATAAATCATCAGTAAACCATGGTTGTTATATGTTTCTGTCAGATGGTGGAGCTAAGATTTGAGTTACTAGTGAATTCATGTTGGCACACTTGAAATGTATTTCTGCAAATAACTATATGTATTTTACAGGAACAGAAGCACAAACAATGCATGTGTTAAAAGAAATCCTAATTATGGTACTTGATGAGAAAATATATTTCTTCTCTAATTCCTCAATTAATGTTGTGGTTTAGCTGACAACTTGACAAGTTTTAAAATGTACAATGACAAGCCCATTTTTAGCCAGCACTGACAAAACATTTGATAATAAAAACCACCAAATGCCCAAAATCAAAAAACGTACTTCTGTAGTCCCCATTTACCTTTATTATTATTATATTAAATAAATTAATGCAATATATACAAATATATTTTCATTCATTAAAATCATAAATATGTTATTACAGTACCACAGAGCCTCAATTCACACCACATGTATTTACAGTTATACAGAATTATTAAAAAGTTAAGATTTCTTTCTGTCCAGCAGCTAATGACTAATACATATTTAAAGTGCTAAGTTCTGGCAATGGCAGCCAACAACAGGTTGGCCAGCTGAAATAGTTGACACAGTTTTTATTAAAATGGAATAATTATTTAAGAGTCGTTGCCAGATATCTGCCCAACAAAGGCATTTCTGAACTGCTTGCCTGGTCAATTGTCAATTTCAGCTCAAGGGAATCTTTCCCTTTTTATCAGTTATTTTCTTGCAACATAATCTAACGTTTAAAGGAAAGTTGTACCATGCCTTTTATGCAAGATCAGACTGCCAAAAACCTCATTCGTACAGCTTTATCACCACTTAATGTACCCAGATCACCCAATATAAAAAGATGCAACCAAAAGCGCAGTAGAAATGGTAACATTTCATCATATGCGTCAGTTAATATATTTCAAACAGTTCTCATTGTTTTAACAGTGAAGTTGTAACAGGAGTTTAAAATAGTGTTTTAAAATCAGAAGTTTCACAGAAACCATAAATGGTTGTACAACGGAGAGTCAGTTATTATTGCTTCCAGAGTGGATTTTTTTTCCTCCCATAGCATCATTGTTAACGCATGTCAAGCCTTTTGATCAACCAGGGTTAAGTGTTTAGTCCTTACAAATTTGGAGGCATATTTTCTTTTTCTGTCAATCTGCGCTTTGCTTTTGTACACTTGTATATCACCACAGACAAAACAATAATCAGAATGAGGATTCCGACAGCAGCACCTACTATTATGAGGATTTTGTCCAAATCAAGAGCTGGAAAGAAGAGAAATGCAACATCAGTTGAATTAGATGCATGCTTTGTATTTATCTGAACTTTGCCCTGACTGAAGCTATTCTACATTAATGAGGCATTAAATGGTGTAATAAATCCAAAGCATTTCCTTTCAACTAGGAGGAAACATTCCAGAGGCACAGACATTCTGAGAAAGCTGGTGTAGAAAAGTGAGTGGATCTGAAGAATAACCTTAGCTTAACAAACTAGTGTAGGTGTTTAGACAAGAAGGACTATTATACCCTGAGATATTTTATTTGTTCTGAATAGTTCAGTTCTCACACATCTGTGATCTTTCTGAATATGGGAATCTAAGAATTTCCTCAATTCTTAGAGAAAAAAAAAATAGTTGGTGCAATCCATATGATGCAACAAAATGAACAAAACATTATTTCATGACCATCCCTTGTGCAATCTGAGTAAAGTGAGGTCACAACTCTTTGTATACTTAATGGGAAATGTTTATGAAATCACATAATACATACCATCCAAGTCTTCCCTGTGAATACTAGTACATTTTATACTGCTTTTTTGACTTTTCTGGTTACTTAAGGTGCTTGGAATATTAGCCTGAACATAGAAACAATAGCTCTTCCCTTTATCAACGTCAACTGCAAATTGATTGGTTTTTGTCTTTGCTGATTTCTGAAAAGGAACAAAAGGATTATTTAAAGAGTTATCTGTAGAAATTCCAGTTCTCCACACTGGCAGCCCAGCAAATTATAATCGATTACAGGTAGACCTGGACTTACAACAGTTCATTTAGTGACCATTCAAATTTACAACAGCACTGAATAAAAGTGACATGACTGTTTTTTTACATCTATAACGTTGCAACATCCCCATGTCATGTGATCAAAATTGGGATCCTTGGCAATTGGTTCATATTTATGACCATTGCAGTGTCCTTGGGATCATGGGATCGCCTTTTGTAATCTTCTGACAAGCAAAGTCGATGGGAAAACCAGATTCACTTAACAACTGTGTTACTAACTTAACAACTACAGTGATTCATTTAACAATTGTGGCAAGAAAGGTTGTTAAATGAGACAAAATTCACTTAACCAATGTCTCAGCAACAGAAATGTTGGGCTCAATTGTGGTCATACATCAAGGAACTACCTGACTACCTATACTGTAGAAACAGCAGTATGGGTATGATTATCGCTATTAATATAAGAATTAACATAAAGGCTTTCAAATAGTTAGTCCTCTACTCACAACCATTTGTTTGGGGACTGTTCAAATTTATGACACTGAAAAAAATGACTTATGAACTGTTGCAGTATCCCCATGGTCTCATGATCAAAATTCGGGCGCTCGGCAACTGGAAGGTATTTATTTTGTAATCTTTCCAGCTGGCTTCCAACAAGCAAAGCTAATGGAGGAAGCCAGACTCGCTTAATGACTCACTTAACAACTGTGGCAAAAAAGTGGTAAAATGGGGCAAAAATTACTTAACTATGTCAACTGAAGCGAATCTGCTTGAAGCCATCTTTAGCCATCTCATAGTTGCCATGAACTTTGGAGGGAGGGGGAAAGGGAAAACAGATAGGCTGACTAGCAGTCAAAACAAAAGCTTTCTCATGGGAACCAAGGTCATCCCAACAGTAGCTGTTGAAGGAGAAGAGGAGTGACCAAGAAACCTGTCAAAATCATAATTGGTCCATGTGACCTGGGACACTTGGGGAGGGGAACAACTGCACTTTTAATTATGCTGCAAACCCAGAAAACCTCTCAGACTTGGCTTTCATGGGCTGTGCCAATATGAGCGTCTAATAAATATGTTCACTGAGGAATCTGCATGCCTCAGAGTTCTGCTTTCGATGGGCACATTAGTTGGAGTGCTGAAAAAAAGTCTTGCTTAGCAACCAAAAATTTGAGCTCAGTTGTGGTCATAACTCAAGGACTAGTTATAATTATGCTTTTTTATTTATTCCACTCAACTTTATTGTTGAGAACCATACCCCACTTTACAATAAAAAAATGTCAAACAGCATAGAACTGTTTTACATTCAAATGAGTTTTAAAAAGGAAGTGTTAATGCTGACCAGCAAAAGTTAAACATTCTTAGAAATTAAGTTCTCACCTTGCCTGTACTCTGATCCTTCCAGTAGTATAACATGTATTCCAAATCGTTTTTGAATATGTCCCTGATAGTTTGCAATGTACCATTAACTCTATACGGTGTTAGTGGATCGGCTACTTCCACTTTTAGAATGTTATCTTTTTGTTCAAAATATGTTACGGTTGGTGTTCCAAGCTCAGCTGGAAAAAAAGTATGACTTAGTTTGATTTTTTATAATATAAAAAGAATGAATAACAAATGTTATTATTTTCAAAAGGTTACTGTAAATCTTGGGCAAAGAGATTGTATAGAATGGGGAGCAACAAAAAAGGGGAACATTACCCTTTTTAAAAAACCAGTTGTCATAAATTGGGAGAAAATGAATAAAAATTCTAACTGAAAACATTTATTTATTTCTGAGCACAGATTTTTTGGGGGTCAATTTACAATGGTTATTATAGAACTATAGAATATGACTGATGGTGGGGAGTCCTAACTTGCCTACTTTATCTGCATAAGATATGTTTGCAGGCCTTTGAGTCAGTGTTGATTCCTGGTGACTATCTAAACAAGTTCCTTCAGTTTTCTTGGCAAGGTTTTTCAGAAGCAGTTTATAGTTAAGGCACCAGGCTAGAAACTAGGAGATCGTGAGTTATAGTCCTGCCCCCCACCCCTTAGGCACAATGCAGGTTGTGGGTGACCTTGGGCCAGTCACTCTCTTTCAGCCCTAGGAAGGAGGCAGTGGCGTCTTCCATCAATACGTTAAAATGAAACAAATGATTAAATCTAATGCTGATTTGTTCCAACTGAATAAATTACCTTTCCTCCCCTTTAGCTTTTCATTAAATGTTGGAAGAGCCATATGTTATATAGGTAGCTCTTGACTTATGACAACTTAAACCAATGTGGTAGTTAAGTGAGACATCATGTGACCAGACATGATTATACAGTTGTTAAGGAATCTGACTTCCTCAGTCGACACTGCTTGTTAGGAACTGGCTGGGAAATCACAGGATACTGCAGCCAGCCATATATACAAGCTGGTTGTCAAGCACCTGAATTGTGATGATGTACCTGCAGGTGTATGATGTGACAGTTAAAAAAGCTTCTATCCCAGGGCAGTAACTCTATTGAAATCTATTGTATAGTGCAATCTTAATGCAATACTAGGGGTTTTCAATTCAATAGAATGTGAAGGATGTGTGTTTATTTTCACAGTCATAATGTACACCGAAGATGGTATTTAAATTTGTTGTACAAGGTGCAATGACTATAAAGTAATTAAACTAAAACTGTCATAACTTTGAACCATTGTTAAATGAATGGCCGTAAGCCAAGGACTACCTCTATGTAAAATATTCAGTCTTTCAAATTTAAATTACAAAACTGAACTATTAACAGGAAGTAATGCCTTCCTACAAATCTTAAAACGCGTTCCTTATAAGTCTTTCTACCTAATATTCTTTTCAGTGCATAAATATACTGCATTAAAGGTAGTGGAATATATATTATATTTATCATACTTACTTTGTGTGTAAGGTACAAACTTTGAAGAAACTTCATATGGAGGTGTTTCAACATTATCTTCATCATATGGTATTTCGGAATATATGCGTGCCGTATAAGTATCGTTTAAATTCTGTAGTATCACATTAGTAACATCACATTCAGTTTTACTGGTATGAATGCATACTTTTTCTCGGTTTAGGAGATATCTATAAAGATTGAGATCAAAAATGTAAATCAAGAATTTTATGCATATGTTTGAGGAGTAAGATTATTATTACAAATACATGCCTTGCAGTAATCAGCAAAAAAATGGATCATCCTGGCCACATACATAACTTTCACTTTGATCCATAGTCAAAAAGCAAAATGTAACATATGTTCAAGGTCAACAGTAATGTTGCCCGTTTAGTGAGATAAACAGTGTAACTAGGAAAACATGAAATGGCCTTTATGCCCTTGAATATTTTGTACTGCTGCAATGAATAAGACACAACTGCTTTCACAGCAGACTTAGAAGTACTAAGAAATGCAATACAGGACACGTAAAATTATGGGTAATTAAAAAAGTGAATGAGAGAAACAAAAATTATAAAACATATAATATGAAATTAACTAGCCTACAAATAACTTGATATAAATACTAAGTGCATTAAAGGAATATAGTAACAATCTCTACTTTAGATAGATTCAATATTTAATCAAAGCCCTTCCCTCTGAAACCCCAGATCATAGTGGTTGTTTATTTCAGTCTGGGTCCTGTGTGTGTGCATGTGAAAAAGTTTGAAGCACCCAACTGATTCAACACTTGAGGTGCTATGATTCAATTTTACCCCTGAAATTGGAACAATTTTAGGGGACATACCATAAGAGGGGTGAAATTAAAAATGATCCAGGGAGACCTTTAAGAAAATTTAGATGAGAAAGTATTCTTCTTTCAACAATATATACTTGTTACATGTTTTGTGTAAGCAGGTATGCTTCAAATTATAGCCTTATATGAAATCAACAGTATTCATTTTACAGTTATCAATTCATGTCCAATATCAAACTATATCATGGAGATGTTTTTTCATGTATGTTTTCTTGTGATTTCTCAAACTGCTCCAGTACAACAGATGAAATACAAAGATACCTAAGGAAAGGTATGGTGTGTTTCCAAACTTACCCGTCCATTTCAACTGTATAAACATAACCAACTGGCTTTGGATCCCAGTGGAGCAGAGTCTTAAAATTGATTGATGACCAAGTTATGTTTACAGCTCTCTGTACTGCAGAGCTACCTGTTTTGAAAATGTATAGAGAGGAATATGACTTAGGGGTTTCCCCACATATTACAATATTCTGTGTGGACTGTTAAATCGTTTAAGGCTCTAACAACATTATAAATACAATAATGTATTTTTCTTTAAAAGTCTGATGGAAATTGGAATATAAGTCAAACCTTCCCAACCTGATATTTTTCTAGTATGTTGGTCTATAACTTGCATGATTTCTCAGCAAACAAATTCATAGTGGCTAGGTATTTATTTTTAATTTTATTTATCCCATTTTTATTGTTTTTATAAATAATATATTAAATTCATTAGGTGACTAGGTAAGACAGTCAGTGCAAGTGAGTGAGAGGCTTGCTCCCTGTTTACTATACAGCAGCTTTCCCTGCCAGGGTTAGGAGGGCATAGTTGTCTCTGTGGCAGTTCCTTGATTAGAGTATGCTTGATTGTTTGTCTAGTATTTTGTTTGATGTTAATCTTTGCTTATCTCAGTGCAGATTGCCAAAGAGGATATATTCTGGTCTTGTTTCTTCCTTAGTTTTTTTCATTGTTTCTTTGAATATTGTGTAAAAGTAAAAGGTAAGAAAGAAACAAATAGACCAGGACACATCCTTTCTGGCAGCCTACACTAGATAAGCACTGATTAACACTAGGGCAAACAATGAAGCAGAAAAGAACACGGTAATCAAGGAACTACCAAGGAGACACACACACGACATATCCAACAGTTGCAGAGAAAACTACTGTATAGAAACAGAGAGCAAACTCCAGTCACTAGCACCAGTTATCATTACTAATCAGATAATGAAACAGCCAAACTCAGAGGGCACTAAGGACTCTGCAGTTCAACCCTGAGCAACATATATTATCTTCTGTTGGAAAATATTAATTCTTTGATGCCATTTTGTAATTGTCTGCTGTATTTCATATATGTGCTATTTGTGGGCCTTTCCAAGATTAATCCCTGTAAAAAAGGATATTGAAGTCAAAGGATGGTTGGCTGTTATATTTATGGCTTGAGAAAAAGGGAAACCTTTTTATTTCTAAGAATGCATAATATATCTCCTTATGCTCCAATGATTACCACCTTTATACTCATTGCATTTATATGTTCCTCACAGCTACAAGTTAGCCAACTACATTATTGTACTATTGAACTGTTTGAAAGGTACCCTAAAGTTCCATTCCTTCTTTAAAAAACATGACTACATGTGACAAAACAATCTTTGGCAGGCTTTATAGCTCTTCAAAGCAATTATTTCAATTTTATTTGCTTCTTGGTATTATTAAATTCTTCTTTAAAGATGTATCATTATAACTGAGATCTTACTGTATAATGTACTCGGAAGAAAATTATGATTTAAATACAGGTTTTCAAAAATATTCTGTAGTTTGTGAATTTACTGATAGCATGTGCAATATGTTTGTGCAATGGTCATAAACATTTCTTATGAATCTTTACATGCATATTAAAGCATTCCAGGTGGTTAACATGAATATGTATGTTGGTATCTTATTTCTGTCCCACACAGTTCTTCAACCATACTGTAATAAGTGACTCTTCTGTTGTTAAGCATGCAGTGCAAATGTGGCTAACACCTCTAGTTATATCCACATTAGTTTTAAATTCCAGTTAGTACCAAAATCCTATTCCACATTTGCATATTATATTTAATTGTATCAGATGAGAATAAAGAAGCAGCCCATTCACTCACAGAAACCAATCCAGGGAAACAGTTATACTGTATATTAATATACATCTCTGCTATATTGAAGATTTACAGCTTAGTAAGGCTGTGTCCACTTAAACATTGATTGGGAAGAAGTATTTCCAACCTTGAAAGACTGCGATGTCTGCAAATTTATTAAAGAAGTCCAGCTTTTTCACAGGTTTTCCTAAGATGCTGCTTTAAGCTACCTATTAACATCAGTGCAACTGTTAAAGTAGCTACAAATTTTTATCAGGTACAGAAACCTAAAAAAGATCAGGTTGTTTTAATGAAAGGCTGGTACATATTATGTTTATGTGAGGTTCAAAGCACTGCCAATCATTTTTATACTACAGATAACCCTTCTGCTTAGGTAATCAGCTCATAACATTTTTTTTCTGGAATAGACCCATACCCTGTTGATATTAAATTAAGAAATTGCATTGTTTCAATGTGCCATTGTGATACTAACACAGTATTTAAAAGCATACCAATATTGCACAATACTTATACAGGTACTTAATTGCTTTGAAAACGTTCTAGGTTTTTTTTTTCCTATTGTTAATAACAGATGATAAATTTGTCATTAAAGTTATCCTCATCTTGAAGCACAAGACGGGTGGCAAATAAATTTGATAAATAAAATACTTAATTGATATTCAGACTATATGGACTTAAATCGTGTCATTTTTTTTCTATCTGCGCTTGAACAATATACTCAGATTTGATTAGAGAATAATATATATCCTTAACGTTTTAGCATATTCTGAACAGAATATACTTCTTGAACCTTTCTGCTATTTTCCATACTTCTTGAACCCTTCCTCCACCCCCTCAAAAATGTCCAGAATCAGACATTTTTCTCTCCATCACTCAGACACTTGAACTCAGTTTCACTGCTTTTAACTTAGGCAGCTCAAATCCCTAGAGCCAGTTGTTCTTAAACTTGAGACCCGACATCCTGCCACAGTCCATATGCAAGGATGACTTCTGGCCCACTTCAAACAACTATATAATTATTGTTGTTATTGTTATTAATTGCACAGCCAGATGTTCAAACTGAATTTGGCATTTTTTGTCTACCCATTGAGTCCTTACCAAGGACCTGGGATAGGCAAATCTGGATGTTTGATGGTGTTACAGATATCTCTGCAGGATGGAAGCTGTTCCAAGTAAAGCTGCCTTCTGCAATTGACTGATGGCAAATTTGTCAATGCCAATGGTGTTCAAGTGGTACTCCAGTTGTTTTGGGACTGTACCCAAGGCGCCTATTACTATTGGTACTACCCTTGCTTGCCTTTGCCATAATCGTTCTACTTCTATTTGTAGGTCTTGGTATTTTGTTATCTTCTCCAGTTTTTTCTTTTCTATTCTGCTGTCTCCAGGCAATGCCACATCTATTATTATTATTATTATTATTATTA